CAGAGCAGCTCCCCAGGTTTGCGGTCAGGATAAAAAGCGTGGACTGGGAAGCCCTGGGCAACGAGAGCTTCGGTGGCCGGCAACCAGCGTCGGGCGCCGCTGCGGGGCGGAAGTGTCTCCCCTCTTTGTTTTCATCGTTTGGGGTGCACCTCCGACCCATTTTTGATTCGAAGCAGCAGCCAAAGCATGGCGGAGCCGGAGTCGGGGCAGCGTCGGGTGCGCTAGGCTCGCGCCGCGTCGACGCGGCGGGGGCCCCCGCGCGGGCCTCGAAGGAACGCCGCCAGCGACTCTGGGCTTATGTCGGGCGCGTCCCCCTTACAAGGAGACTGTCGACGAACAATAGAAAAGTACCCCAAAAGTACCCCAAAAAGGTCAAAACATATTCCAAGAATAATCCCCAGTTGAGGCGAACTTGGAGTTCGTCAAGGGCACATTTGGGTCGGACGCAAGCTCGCTTGCGTTCGCCTGGTCTAAAGACGCGGCGACGCCGAAAGCCCTCGCGAACAGCTCATGCTCCGCGACGCCAAGGTCGGAAGAGGAGGGGCCTGTCTCGCGTTTCCACATCGCGCGGCGGCTCCGCGGATGAGCATCCTGATCCGCCAAGAACCTCTGGCCTCTGGCACCCCGTCTCCGCGTTGTCCGAAGCCCGAAATTGGCCATTACGACCACGACGTGTCTGTGATCAGATCAACCGCGCTCTTGAACTCCCGGCGCCGCTCGCCCTCGGAGTTCGCATTGATTATCATCACCCGGGCGCCGAATGCGCCGTCACCGCCGTCACCGCCGACCGCCATCCGCGGGGGGCGCTGCCGCCCCCCCCTCAGGGCTTCCCGTCGACAGAGAACGCCTGGTGGCGGCAGGAACGAAAGGCCTGCGCGTAGTCGGGCGGCGTCGGCTCCCAGTTCTCCCCGCGCAGCTCGTGCTGGCCCGGACTGAACCTCCGACACTCAAGCGAACCGTTGATGGGCTGGCCCGTCGTGGAGAAGGCCACCATCCCCGCAAGAGGAACGACCGCCAACATGTGCGGGTAGAAGTCCCCGTCGGCGTTGCTGGAACTGGATCGCCGACGACATCGGTGTACTCGCTGGGCGGGTACACGCACGAATGATTCACATCCGCCAGGATTGACCAACTTGCCAACTGACGCCGACACGCTGACCAACTTCCATAACACACGAAAAAGCAGCAGCACCCGCAGCCGAAGTCTGCTACAAAGAACACCAAGACCGCACCGAAGAGGAAACCCCTAAGACTGCCAGTCGCCTCGGCCAGCAACAAACAGCCGCCGCCGCCCTCGTGTCATGGGATGAGGTCTCGGACAGACAGGGGCAGCTGGTCCAGAGCGTATAGCACAAGTTGGGCGATGGCTGATGAGAGGATTCCCCTGCGCTGCTCTCTGAATCAGACTTGAGCCGCAATCCAGCGGCCACGCTCACACATGCCAAGCAATCGTCTCCAAAGAAATCGGTTCGGACGAGGAGAATGAGGAGTGATAGAATGGGACTGGCATGAAGGGGATTCTGAGGGAAACAAATCATGGACCCCAGGGCTTTCCCTCGAGACCAGCTTTTCGTCTTGAATCGTTATCTGGAAATTCCATGGCACGTGGAGTGCACCAGGGGGCTAAACGCGACAGACAGCCTCAGGACCCGTTTCCTTGAGGACACAATTATGAAATGCGAATGGGCTGGATGCACAAGGAGGACGACAAGATCAACCCCACGATGCACCAACGGCATTGCTTCACGAAGCGGAGCACATGGCTTCGATGTAGACCCTTTTAGCTCATGCGCGTGCCGTTCGCATCGCGAGCCAAATGAACAAATCCCGATGAAGGCCGATGCTGCACTATGCAGCGCTGTACCCAATATGCATCAACCATGCTGCAACAAGCCCACCAATCCCAAGCCCCCTCCTGATAAGACCCCACAACATATCAATGTCACGGCTCCCCGTTTTGAGCATGATCTGTCACCCATGATTCTAGATAGAAGGATGGCGACGAAGTATGATTATCAAACTTAAAGAAAAATCAAATTAATTCCCGATGTGATAAATAGCTGGTCTCAATCCGTGCATACCGATTCCAAGTTTACACGCCTGGTCAGGAAACCAATACACGTCTAAAGCAAAAGCCCCGACTTGGACAGGATCCGTCCTCGATCCGTATGGCTGTTGAACGCATTCTTTGCTTCCGCTGAGCAGGATGTTGGGGAGGACGACCCATAATCTCAACGATGACGACGCCCACGAGCAGGCCCAGAGCCCAGTGTGTCGATCAACGCCCCAAGGCGCGGGCCCGTCCAGGGATTTCCCAGTCGTCATCCGAGCCGCCGCTACTTCCACCCAATGCCATCTGGGCTTGCCCCAGAAAGCCACCCCACCCCTAAGGACCCCGCGCCAGCCCGGATCGCACCCCCGATGTACCATGTAGCCGAACTCCTGGCGACCAGAAGGGGCATCGGTTAACTGATGCCCATCCCCACTGGCACGGTCTTGGCCTCTGCTCACCTGGGCGGTTGGGCTGATGGGGCTGAGATGAGATGGCCGAGTGGGCATGGTGATCGCTTAGACCATGCTGACGAAAGAGGCAGGAAAGGAGGGACAGGGGGGATGAGAAAAGAGGAGACGGCGGTGAACGCAGCGCAATCAACGACCTGTCGGCACGTTGAGGTGAGGGCCTCGAAGGCCCGCTCGGGCCCGGCCGGCACGCACCCCGCGAGGCCAGCTCTGGAACGCACGGCCCAGGCCTGGCGCTGCCCACGGCGCTCCTCGCGCGCGTCGTCGGCGGCGGAGAGGGGAGAGGAGGGAGCAGGGATGGAGGAGAAGGAAGGCGAGAGAAGCCCTGGTCGCAAGCAGTCCCACCATGAACGGGATCTCCATGCTGCAAGTGCTGGTGACCATTGGGCTGGGACGCACTTCTTGGGGTCAGCCGTTCCTTTTGGCTGTAGTACGCTGCCGTGTGCGTTCGTGCTCGCGCGACCATGGCAGGCAATGCACCAGCACACAGAGGCCTCTATAATGAGGTCCGAGTAGGTGGGGTCGGAGGGTCGTGCCGCATCGCCGATACACCGCCAGTGCATAGGCGATGCATCGCCGCCGTCGGCGTAGAGAGAGTCATAGTCCAGATCGACCTGCATCGCCGGTGCCCAGTCGATGCGGCGCGGGTCTCCGACCCCATATGCTCCAGAACGGAGGAGTGCGGGGGGCGGAGGAGGCGGAGCGCAGAAGGCGCGGCGTCGGCGCCGAGTCCTCCCGACCGTCTGCGCGGTAGATGTCTGGAGGACGACGTCTGGTCTCAGGAACACGACGGTCCCGAACATCAGGTCACCCTCAGGAATGCAGCGTGTATAATATAAGGACACCTCCCACAATCTTCCTTCTCCTCCTCCTCCGCCTCCTCCTCCTCAATCCTTTCCTTATAAATAACTCCTCCATGGCGCACCGCGAGACGCGTTTCGCCTGAGACTTCCTCACCACTGATGCCCTTAAGCCGAACGTCTGCGTCAGCTTCACGCATTGATGGCGCAAGGTTTTCAAGATCCCACCAGCCTTCTAGGGCGTAAGGTGGTCTAGAGCGTTTCCTCTTCCAAACCCCCTTCTTCCCCTTGAGGGAGGGGCTTACCCCTCCGCCTACCCCGTCCTCTGGACCAGGACGGGGCCGGGCGCGAGCGGTCAGAGCGTCCAAGATGGCCCAAGACGGCTCCAAGAGGGCCTCTGAGAGCCCAAGATGACCTCCAAGATAGCTGAAGATAGTCCGAGATGCCTCAAGATGGCTTCCAAGATGCCCCAAGAGGATCCAAGAAGGTTCCAAGACGGCTTCAAGAGGCCTCCGAGACATCCAACGGAGGCCTCCAAGAGGCCCAAACCCTTCCAAAACCTAAGAAACATCGACTGATTGTTGCCTTCTCGCCTTGACGCTTCCGATGGCCATCCGAGGCATCGAAATTGCTCCAAGATGGCGCAAGAGGGCCCCAAGAGGTGCCCAAGAGAGCCTCAAGACGGCCCCAAGAGAGCCCAAGAACGCCCCAAGAGACTATTTTGGGGACCCCCGAGTGGCATAATTGGGGAAACCTTTATTTATGATAGATGTCCTCCAAGATGGCCCCAAGAAGCGCCCAGGGGGCCCCAAGAGGCCCCAAGATGGCCCCAAGATGGCCCCAATATGGCCCCAAGATGGCCCCCCAAGAGGCCCCCAGGAGGCCCCCAAGAGGACCCCAAGCGGCCCCAAGAGGCCCCCCGAGGCACCCAAGACGCCCAAGAGCCCCCAGGACCGCCAAGAGACCCCCAAGACGTCCCAAGAGGCCACCACGAAGCGCCCAAGAGATATCCTAAGGGGCTCCGAGAGGCATCCGGGAGACCTCTGGCCCTTTTGCTTGCCCTCCTCCTGCTCCTCCTGCTCCTCCTTCCTCCTCCTACTCCTTCCCTTCCTCCTCTTTCTCCTCCTCCTCATCCTTTTCATAGTTTCCTTCTCCCCACTCCCTCATCCATCCATCGAGCCTCCTCCTCCTCCGCCTCGCTCCTTCGAAACGGTTCGACCGTCCCCCTCGTTGCTCCCGCACTTCCCTGATCACCTTAACTCGCCTGGACATCGCTTCTGAATGGGATGGTGGGGGTACGCGAAACGTCTAGAATGTGGCTCTCGCCTTAGCACCGCGCACATTCGTCCTAACCGCACGCAGGAGCTTCGCAGATGGATAGCGGGTGGTTTTCAAAATGTGCGCTCGCCTGAGCCCAGCACGAATTCGCCTTAAAAATTTGAAAGAATGTCACAGATGACGGGCGGTACCTTTTCGAAGTGGTTATCTCGCCTTTACGCCGCGCGCATTTGTCTTTGGAGCTTACAGGCGTCCCAAAGGTTCTTATGACTGACGTCCGAAAGGAGGTGTTGGTACGATGTGGGAATATTCGGGTGCACGGTTACATGGATTCGCGGTGTCGGAATCCCAGGAGTAGCGTTCTGGCGAATATCAATCATCGTCAGGACGCGAAAATAACGGTGATTAACGGCGTTGGGCTCCTAGGAAAACAAACGCGTGCCTTCCAAATGAGAATTTCCGTAATTGAGAACGAATCCTTGCACGGACGTGTGAAGGGGAGCTTGGGGGAGGGCTCAGTGCAATATCGTCGATGAGTCATGGGTTTACACTGGTCCCCCTTGTCCTCCTCCTCCTCCTTTTCCTCCTCCTCCTCCTCCTCCTCCTTATTATATTCCCTCTCCTCCTTTTCCTCCTCCTTACATATCCCTCCTGTATCCCCCCTTCCCTCCCTCACCCTCCTCCTCCTCCTCCTCCTCCTCTTCCTCCTCTACCTCCTCCTCTTGTGACTGTCATCCTCCTCCACTTATGAGGGTAATCCTCCGTCTTGGCGTGGGGGGAACAGATATCCATATGGATGCAGAGCTGCCCTCTCTGACTCCTGGCCGAACTGTTCGCCCGGCTGTCCGTCCACGAGCGCACCCAGGTCCGCCCACGGTAAAAGACTGGGGCAGGAAGGCGAGGGGAGGACGGGTGGACGGGAAGAGCGCGGAGGACGACGACTACGAGGATGAGGGCGACGAGGGCGGTGATGGGGGAGGAGGGAGAAACGATACAGGCTGGATGCTACATTGGCGACGCAATGGTCGGTGCCATCTTACCAACCAACATCCATGTACTCCGACCACACATTGAAACCCAATGTCGTTGCAGCGTGATACAGAATTGCGTTCGACTGGCTGATGCTGGGGTCGAACAGAACCCTGCCGTGGGAGGGACGGGAAAGGAAGGGACGGGACGATGAGTAAGAGCCGCGCGCGCGCGTGCGGCTGCGCGCCCGAAGGGCTCTGCGGGTCTTGGTCTGTCCATCGAGCTGGAGGGGGGCCGCGGGCTCTGCGCCCGTCCGATATCCTTTCGTGGACTTCCCCAACCCATCGTTTTGAACTCATATGTTTCAGTTCCTCGCTCTAATTTCGCAGTCTGGAGCGCCGCTCGTCTACCCAACCCGGCAGATCCATGTTGTTCATGGTTTGCCGCGTTGCCAAAGTAACGCGTTTAACCCAATTCACCCATGTCTCAAGCTCCCCGTCTGTCGTAACAGTGCGTCGCCTTCAGGGGATACTTCTAACCATTCTCATGTGTACCCCCCACAATATGTACTCCCGCTCAACAGTCATCACCCAGCTCCCACTCCCGTATAACGCCGCCGGCGTTACAACGCAGTGAAACAGTTGCATCAGCATATTGATTGGCATGACCCAGTCCGTGAATGCCTGCTTGAATGATCCAAACTTCGCACATGCATTCTTCATCATGTGCGTGAGCTCGGCGTCGTGTGCATGCGTCAAAGATAAAGCTTCGCCCTGATACATAATTGTTGACGATGGTTCCAGCACTTCGATATTCACGCCCCCAGCCAATGCTAATCGAACTTTGTTCCCGTAGCCAATGTTGTTGTGCTGAATATTCGTCTTGTCCGGGTGGAGCTGCAGACCGACGTTCTCGTTTCCTCGCTGCACGTCCAATATCATATGTTTGGTTTGCGGTAGCGAACGCCCACCCAATACAATGTCGCCCGCGAACATCACATGAGTCAAAGGTTTGTATTTGGTGTAGCCGAGTTGCCTGCCATACCCTTTTCGCAACCTATTTCACGTTGACCGTCCGCGTCACCTCTTCGAAACCACCATAAAACAAGATGGAGCTCATAGGGTCGCCTTGTGTGGTCCCTTTTGAACTCTCGAACTCTCGGATCGGCACGTCGCACTCTGCGTGTGCCCGCTGACCGGTGTATAACCCGGACAATGCAGATACGTAGACGGGGTGCACTCCGTGCAATGATCCCCATATGTTCGAGTGAGATAAACAATCGAACGCCTTTTTTTGAAATCGAACATGGCGACCCGCGAGAGACACAAAAGCAAAAACGTAAATCCATTCCCCCCGCCACGTTCCCTCCCCCCTCCCGTTTTCGTCCTCGTCCTCCTCCCTCCTTTCTCGCCTATTCCTCCTCCTCCCCAGACATCCGAAGAACGTCTGGACATTTTCCCACGGACTGGAGCCTGTTTTTTTTTTTCTCTGGTGTCCGCGGTAACGGCCGTCACCAATCCCCCCCCCCCAAGGGACGTCACGTTCCGCGCAGGCGGCGTCCAGGATTGCCTAAGGATGACTGGGACTAAGTAGGAGGCGCATGTTGGTGGCGATCTGCGCCGCAACAACGCTTGTGACCGCCAGTGTCCGCGTGCACCGCAGCGCGAATGCACGCCACAACGCCTGCGTACACCGCGGCAACCGCGCGCAAGGCAACGCCTGTGTACACCGCAGTCCTCGCGCGCACCACGGCGCGCACGCCACAGCGCCCGCGTGCACCGCAACGGCCGTGTGCAAGGCAACGTTTGTGTACACCAGTGCGATCGCGTGCACAGCGCTCGCGTGCACAACAGCGCCTGCACCCGCCACAACATCCGTGTGCAACGCAGCGCCGGTGCACACCACAACGCCTGCGCACGCACGATGCGCAGAAATATCATGTTGGTGAGGATCTGCTGCGGGCAACAAAAAAACGCACAAGGGTAGTGCCGAGAATCGAATACGGTCTTCCCTCCTCCCTCCCCCATTCCCCTCCCCGTCCCCTTCCTCGTCCTCCTCCTCCTCCTCCTCTTCCTCCTCCCCCTCCTCCCATTCCCCACCCCCCTCCCCCCCCCTCCTCGTCCCCCTCCTCCTCCTCCTCCCCCCCCCTTCCTTTTCCTCCTGCTCCTGCTGCTCCTCCTCCTCCTCCTCCCTCAACCTTCTCTTCGTCGTGTGGATCGGCGCTACAAAGCACGTGCGCATCCCGGCGTGCACCGCAGTATGAAAAAAGGCACAACATAGATAAATGTTCGTGCCATGAGGCGCCACGGTAAAATGCCACAGCGCCCCAAGCTGCACTGCCTCCACAAGCAACCCGCGCCTCAAGCGAACTCTTTCGGGAGGACGCCGACCCTGTCCCCATGTGCGTCCTGACCCGCAAGGCACGGCACCTCCTCCTCCTCCTCCTCCTCCTCCTCCTCCTCCTCCTCCTCCTCCTCCTCATCCTCATCATCATCATCATCGTCATCATCAGCATCATCATCACCATCACCATCACAGTCTTGTCCAGAAAAATTACCCTGCGACGTACCCAACCCACGTGCATCAAGTGGCAAGAGGAGTAGGCCAACATTAGCAGGAACAACGATAATGTAGGCGATGTGACTTGCTGTGCAAACTACATGGGATGCGCACGCATTGCACGGCTCACAGGACGACGATCGAAAGAACGAGGATTAAAGCCCCAGGCTCGCGTATGACGTCACTCCGCTGGGCCACCCAGCAGCCCTCGAAAGTGGTGACAGTATCGCAGATCGCAGCCCCCCAAGGATGGCGAGGTCTAATCTGAATACGAATATGTCCCCACTCCGCTGGGCCCTCCAGCAGCCCTCGAAAGTGGCGACGGTTTCGCAAATCGCAGTCCCCCAGGACTGGCGAGGTCGAATCTGAGTACCCCACTCCGCTGCCCCCCCCCCCAGCAGCCCTCGAAACTGGAGACAATTTCGCAAATCGCAGCCCCCCCCAGCGATGGCGAGGTCTAATCTGAGTCCCCGTGGGGGCTCACTCCGCTGGTCACCCCAGCAGCCCTCGAAACTGGAGACAATTTCGCAAATCGCAGCCCCCCCCAGAGATGGCGAGGTCAACTCTGAGTCCCCGTGGGGCCTCACTCCGCTGGGCCCCCCAGCAGCCCTCGAAAGTGGCGACGGTTTCACATCACAGATCGCAGCCCCCCAGGGATGGCGAGATCTAATCTGAGTCCCCGTGGTGCCTCACTCCGCTGGGCCCCCCAGCAGCCCTCAAAAGTGGCGACAGTTTCACAGATCGCAGCCCCCCAGCCACCAGGGATGGCGAGGTCTAATCTGAATCCCCGTGGTGCCTCACTCCGCTGGGCCCCCCAGCAGCCCTCGAAAGTGGCGACAGTCCCACCAGCCCTCTGGGCGTAGGTGGTCTAGAACAGATCCTCTTCCACCCCTCCCTCTTCCCCCTTGGGGAGGGGTTTACCCCTCCCCCTACCCCCTCCCCTGGACCTGGACAGTTAGAGCGTCGATGGCCCAAGACGGCTCCAAGAGCGCCTCAGAGAACCCAAGATGAGCTCCAAGATGGCTCAAGATAGCGCAAGATCGCTCGAGATGGCTCCTAAGATGGTTCCAAGAAGCCCAAAGACGGCCCCAAGATAACTCCAAGTGGCCAAACAGCTCCCCAAGGAGGCCCCGAAGAGGCCAAAATCGTCCCAAAACCTAAGGAAAATCAATGATTTTTGCTTTCTCGCCTTTTCGCTTCCGATGGCCATCCGAGGCCTGGAGATGGTTCCAAGATGGCCCAAGAGGGCCCCAAGAGAGCCCCAAAAGAGCCCCAAGACGGCCCCAAGAGCGCCCAAGAGCACTCCAAGAGCGTTCCAAGAGGGGTCCAAGAGGCGATTTTAGGGGCTTCCGAGGGGGGACGCTAATTAAACCCCCCCTCTTGTTTGATCGATCTCCTCCAAGATGGCCCCAAGAAGCGCCCAGGAAGCCCCAAGAGGTCCCAAGATGGCCCCAAAATGGCCCCAAGAGGCCCCCAAGAGGCCCCCCGGAGGCCCCCAAGAGACCCCCAAGAGGCCCCAAGAGCCCCCCCAGATGCACCCAAGATGCTCCAAGAGGCCTCGGCGAGAATGCCTAATCATTGATTCTACACAGGTTTTAGCCACATGGAGGCCTCTTGGGGGGGGGCACGGATTAAGATGACTCCAAGAGCGTCTGGGAGAGCCCAAAATGACCTCCAAGATGGCTCAAGATATCCCAAGATGTCTCATAATGGCTTCCTCTGTGTGCTGCCCACTTCTCTGATCGAGGCAATTCCTCTGGGCATCGTTTCTGGATGGGCTGGTGGGGATTCGCGAAGCGACAACAATTTCACAGATCGCAGCCCCCCCAAGGATGGCGAGGTCTAATCGGAGTCCCCGTCCACGTGGTGCCTCACTCCGCTGGACCCACCAGCAGCCCTCGAAAGTGGCGACAGTTTCACAGATCGCAGCCCCCTAGAGATGGCGAGGTCTAATCTGAGCCCGCGTGGTGCCTCACTCCGCTGGACCCACCAGCAGCCCTCGAGTGGTTACAATTTCACAGATCGCAACCACCCCCAGAGATGGCGAGGTCTAATCTGAGTCCCGTGGTGCCTCACTCCGCTGGACCCACCACCAGCCCTCGAAAGTGGCGACAGTTTCACAGATCGCAGCCCCCACAGATGGCGAGGTCTAATCTGAATCCCCGTGGTGCCTCACTCCGCTGGACCCACCAGCAGCCCTCGAAAGTGGCGACAGTTTCACAGATCGCAGCCCCCACAGGAATGGCGAGGTCTAATCTGAATCCCCGTGGTGCCTCACTCCGCTGGACCCACCAGCAGCCCTCGAAAGTGGCGACGGTTTCAGAGATCGCAGCCCCCCCAAGGATGGCGAGGTCTAATCTGGGTCTGAGTATGACCCCACTCCGCTGGGCCCCCCAGCAGCCCTCGAAAGTGGCGACAGTTTCGCAGATCGCAGCCCCGCAAAGGGATGACCAGGCAGGAGGCAAGCTGACACGCGGCGACGAGCAAGGTGAGATGCAGGGGGGAAGAGGAAAGGAGGAACGAGGCGGGAAGGAGGAGGAGAAGGAGGAGACGCGACCGCACTGCTCTATTCAAAACGAGAACCCAACGCAGGAGGGTTGGGAATAAGTTCCTGAGGGATCCACAGGCCTTGTCATAAGTATCCCCCCTATCTTCTATCAAAATCAATGGTGCTATGATGCACACGGTTGCTGTGGTACACACAGGCGCCATGGTGTACACAGGCGCTGTTTTGCACGCGGGCGCTGTGGTGTACACTGGTGTTATGTTGCGCACGGCTGCTGTGGTTTATGCCCGCGGTGTGGAGTACACGCGCGCTGTGGTGCACACGAGCACTGTGGTGTACACAGGCGCTGCCTTGCACACGGCTGTTGCGGTGTGCGCGGGCGCTGTGGTGTGCATTCGCGCTGTTGTGCACGCGGGCACTGTGGTTCACACAGGCGCTGTGGTGGAGATCGCCACCGACATGCTGCTCGTACCCGTCCTCGGTCATTCCTAAACATTCCCAGACGCCGCCGGCGCAAAACGTGACGTCACTGGCCTCCTTCTCCCCCACCCCCGATGGCGGCCGCCATTGCCCCATAATTACAATACAGGCTCCTGGTTATTCATCTTGCGTTTTTTTTACGGTCCCATGGCCCAATAATGGTCTCCCTAAAACTGACCAAAACTTTCCGTCGTAATCTGGCCCGATTTGGGAGGCCCGGACTCCTCCCCCCCATCGGATGTGCCGAGAGGGGGGACAGGAACAGGAGGGTTAGCGCATCATGGCCCGAGGCATGCGCGATGACAATTGGGAGCAGGCGGGCGTGTTGGAAAAAAGTAAGCCATACCATCTCGATCACTGCCTTGGCCATGAGATCCACACCTCACCAGTCCTTACCACCACTCGGACGACCCCGACCACATCGCGCCGAGCAGGGTCGAAAGACGGCGCCCGCCTGCAGGTCTGGGTAGGAGAGGCACAGGGGCGGCGCGTGCGCGACGCCGAGCTGCAAAGGAACGCTGACCTTCCCGCCAGCGTTGGCCGCGGTGACCTGGCAGAAGCTGGTCCCCGCAGGGCGAATTGATGCAGAAATGAAGAAGAAATACCCATCGGTGACCAGGGAGGGGGAGGAGGAGGAGGAGGAGGAGGAGGAGGAGGAGGAGGAGGAGGAGGAGGAGGAGGAGCGCAAGTAGCATGAGGCGCAGCAGGTGCCGATCTCATCTACATGCTGATGGCAGCTTGATCTGCGCGCAGTAAGTGGACGTATGATGAGGACGATTGGGGTGGGGATGCAGCGTGCCGTACTTTATTATAAAAATGAAATGACAGCACCGTGTATGCATGGGCGCTCTCTCGCTCGAACTGGGAAGTATACAATGGCGGGAGAGCGAACCCAATGCGGATGACGGGATCGAAGGGGAGAGGGGAGCGGACGAGGGACATAAAGCCAAGGAGGCGGGGGCAAGTGAGATAGTAAGGAGGAGGAGGAGGAGGAGGAGGAGGAGGAGGAGGAAGTGGAGGAGGAGGAGGAGGCGGAGGCGGAGGAGGGGTATAAGGGTAGGGGTAGGGGTCAAGCCACCCTCCTAGATCGCAAGCCGTCTAGCTCACTCCTACCAGCCCTCCCAATACATCAATAATACCAGAGCCTCAGCATGTTCAGCGGTCGTCTTTGGATGGACAGCTACTGGGAACCAAAACCGAGCCCATGTGCGCGACGCTGGGGCGAGGTGCGCCACGCGTGCCAGGCACCCCTGGGGTCCGAGCGTGCCAAGCACGCCTGTTGCGCCAGATGCGTCACGTGCCAGTTGCGCCACTTTCGGGGCACGTGCAGAGTGTTCAGGTGCGCCTGCTCAAGTGATCGCACACATCAGTAAACATGTCGGCCCCACCATCCTTGTCGAAAACATATGCCCATCATTGTGTCTGGTGAGACTGCGCACAGCAGGCCAAACGCCACCATCCCCGCCGTCCCTGTCAAAAACCAACCCAGCAATGATCGCTGGGTGGCCGCGCATGAGCCAGATTGAGCCGCGAAGTGCATTGCGTATTGTGTGTTTCTACAGAATCCAATGGAGTTGGGTCCATGTTTTGAAGAGACGTCGACCCGCACTCTCCCACCTACTTTTTCCCTCCTCCCTGCCACTCCCCCCTCACAAGCTGCACAGGGAGCTCCACCGAAGGCCCCAGTGGCAGGGTTTACATGCGTCCTGGCGACTCATTTCGGCACACCCCTCACACGGTGTTCGTGGCCTCATAGGGAGCTCCACCGAATACCCCGGTGGCAAGGTTTACATGCGTCCCCGCGACTCATGTCGGCGCACCCCTCACACGGTTCGTGGCCCCATAAAGAGCTCCACCGAAGGCCAGTGGCAGGGTGTACATGCGTCCCCGCGACTCATGTCGGCGCACCCCCCACACGGTTCATGGCCCCATATGGAGCTCCACCGAACGCCCCAGCGGCAGGATTTACAGGCGTCCCCGCGAGTCATGTCGGCGCACCCCTCACACGGCTCGTGGCCCGCTAGGGAGCTCCACCGAAGGCCAGTGGCAGGGTGTACATGCGTCCCCGCGACTCATTTCGGCGCACCCCTCACACAGTTCGTGGCCCCATAGGGAGCTCCACCGAACGCCAGCGGCAGGGTGTACATGCGTCCCCGCGACTCATTTCGGAGCACCCCTCACACGGTTCGTGGCCCCATAGGGAGCTCCACCGAAGGCCAGTGGCAGGGTGTACATGCGTCCCCGCGACTCATTTCGGCGCACCCCTCACACAGTTCGTGGCCCCACAGGAGGCTCCACCGAAGGCCCCCCGGCGGCAGGATTTACATGCGTCCCCGCGACTCATGTCGGCGCACCCCTCACACGGCTCGTGGCCCCATAGGGAGCTCCACCGAAGACCCCGGTGGCAAAGTTTACATGCGTCCCCGCGACCCATGTCGGCGCACCCCTCACACGGTTCGTGGCCGCATAAAGAGCTCCACCGAAGGCCAGTGGCAGGGTGTACATGCGTCCCCGCGACTCATGTCGGCGCACCCCCCACACGGTTCGTGGCCCCATAGGGAGCTCCACCGAACGCCCCGGCGGCAGGATTTACATGCGTCCCCGCGACCCACGCCGGTGACCCCTCACACGGTTCGTGGCCCCATAGGGAGCTCCACCGAAGGCCAATGGCAGGGTGTACATGCGTCCCCGCGACTCATGTCGGCGAACCCTTCACACGGTTCGTGGCCCCATAGGGGGGTCCACCGAACGCCCCAACGGCAGGATATATATATATATATATATATATATATGCGTCCCCGCGACTCATGTTGGCGCACCCCTCACACGGTTCGTGGCCCCCCACCCCCGCGACTCATTTCGGCACACCAATCACACAGTTCGTGGCCCCATAGGGAGCTCCACCGAAGGCCAGTGGCAGAGTCTACATGCGTCCCCGCGACTCATTTCGGCGAATCACTCACACGGTTCGTGGCCCCATCGGGGGCCCCACCGAACGCCCCAGCGGCAGGATGTACATGCGTCCCCGCGACTCATGTCGGCGCACCCCTCACACGGTTCGTGGCCAGATCGGGAGCTCCACCGAAGACCCCAGTGGCAAGGTGCACATGCGTCCCCACGACTCATTTCGGCGCACCCTCACACGGTTCGTGGCCCCATAAAGAGCTCCACCGAAGACCCCAGCGGCAGGATTTATATGCGTCCCCGCGACTCATGTCGGCGCCCCTCTCACACGGTTCGTGGCCCCATAGGGAGCTCCACCGAAGACCCCAGTGGCAAGGTTTACATGCGTCCCCGCGACCCATGTCGGCGCACCTCTCACACGGTTCGTGGCCCCATAGGGAGCTCCACCGAAGACCCCAGTGGCAAGGTTTACATGCGTCCCCGCGACCCATGTCGGCGCACCCCTCACACGGTTCGTGGCCGCATAAAGAGCTCCACCGAACGCCAGTGGCAGGGTGTACATGCGTCCTCGCGACTCATTTCGGCACACCCCTCACACGGTTCGTGGCCCCACAGGGGGGTCCGTGGGACGCCCCAGCGGCAGGATGTACATGCGTCCCCTCGACTCATGTCGGCGCACCCCTCACACAGTTCGTGGCCCCATCGGGGGCAACACGCAAGGCCCCAGCGGCAGGGTTGACATGTGCCCCCGCGACTCAATTCGGCACACCCCTCACACGCTTCGTGGCCCCATAGGGGGCCCCACCGAAGGTCCCAGCGGCAGGGTTTACATGCACCCCCGCGACTCATGTCGGCGCACCCCTCACACGGTTCGTGGCCCCATAGGGAACTCCACCGAAAGCCACTGGCAGGGTGTACATGCGTCCTCGCGACTCATTTCGGCGCACCCCTCACACGGTTCGTGGCCCCATAGGGAGCTCCACCGAATACCCCAGTGGCAAGGTTTACATGCGTCCCCTCGACTCATGTCGGCGCACCCCTCACACTGTCGTGGCCCCACCCATAAGGGGCTGCACGCAAGGCCGCAGCGGCAAAGTTTACATGTGCCCCCGCGACTCATGTCGGCACACCCCTTACACGGTTCGTGGCCCCATAGGGAGCTCCACCGAAGGTCCCAACGGCAGGGTTTACACGAGCCTCCGCGACTCATGTCGGCGCACCCCTCACACGGTTCGTGGCCTCATATGGGAGCTCCACCGAAGGCCCCAGCGGCGAGATTTACATGTGTTCCCACGACTCATTTCGGCGCACCCTCACACGGTTCGTGGCCCCATAGGGAGCTCCACCCAAGGCCTCAGTTGCAAGGTTTCCACGTGTCCCCGCGACTCATCTCGAGGAAGAGATGTTTGCGCGAGGCCCCGGGCATTCTCCACGCCGCACGGCCCCTGAACCTCTCGACCTCGCCGGGCCTCCCTATTCCGTCTCATTTTCATCGCGGTACTCGCAACTGCATGTGATTGGGTCTTTCGCCGCGCTAATTGTACGGGATGGTAGCCCTGCGCACAGCAGGCAATATGCGGTCAAACAACAATACAGAGTGCTCGCGGGCCTCACGAACATGACTCCAAACTTTGCCCCAACGTATAATTTGAATTGTTTTGGCAGGGATGGCGAAGGGGGCCCATATCGGGTTGGTTGCGCATGCTCCGACTTTGGAGGCAGAACGTGTGCGATCGTATTGTTTTTTACAGCAACGGTTTGGGGGGTGATCATGGGGTCCTCCTTGTTCCTGGTTGGGTGCCGGTCGCCTGGGGGAGGGCGTGTACATTAATGGGGAACGGTGATCAATTTAGCCAGGTCGAGCGAGTCAGAAAGCCCAGCCTACTCCCACCCTCCACCTCTCTCCCACAACATCTCTGCATTGGGATTCGACGTCACCGCCCGCCTCGCAAACGGAAGCCGTGTAGACACGGCCCCGCTTTCGACGGCTTGGCGATGGAGCGGTACAAACTCCCGATGGGCGGGACGAGAAAGTATGTCCCACGCTGACACTGCACTGCCACTCTCACTCACAAGCTGCGCGGCGCTTGGGCAAGGTCGGCATTTCGCCCGCGTTCGCGCGGCCCCGCGAACAGGGCCGCGCCAACGAGCCATGCAACTCGCAGAACGAACCATGCGCCGCGCCCGCGCTGGAATCCCCCGTCCAAGCGAAATGCCCACGGAACTTGGGCGATGATGACAAGTCGCCCACTTGCGCGGCCCCCCAAATATTTGCGAACGACAAACCGGCGACGCGCCGAGGTGGGAACGCAACTTTCAGGCGAAATCTACGTGGCGCTAAGTCGAAAACGACATTTTCGTCCGCTCGCGCGTCGAAGAAAATGCGCATGCGAAAAACGCGCGCCGCGGCCAAACGGCAGCTCAACTCTCTAGAAAAATTGGAACAGCGCGATACTTCGGCCCTTCCTGCCACGCATGTTCCAACATGAACGACGTAATGAATGTCCATGTTGGGCCGAACATCGCTGATTCAGATGGCTTTCCATTTGTAGGATGGGACCCCCCCGGACCTGGTCGCGACCGGCCCGCTAGATGGCAGAGTGGGGGTATATACCAATAAGCAAAAAAAAGAAAGGGGACGGAGGAAGGAAGCAGAGGCGACTGCCTTAGAATAGTGGTCGGGCTTGTCGCAAACAACTCGACAGGTCATGTGGACGCATGACGCATGCTTACTTGACTGCGACGACGCATACTTATGCTTGTGCAGACGACAAGTCACCCATGACTGCGCAGATTTGTTTCAAGAGGAGCGGGGGTCGATGCCGAAAACTTCAAGCCTGAAGAGAAGCAAGGGCAACTGGAGAAGGGGGCCATGTAGCTGATGTGCCAATGTCGGCCTGTGCGTATGCAAACAAACGCACGCGCCTGCATTGCCATATCAACACGAACATGCACTGAGAGAGAAATTAAGGCGGGAATGGTGCTGAAGAAATCGGCGGCCAATCAAACGCAAACCCTGGACAATGCTCCTTCATCCCGCCATCTCCCAGCAACAAACAAAAATCACACCAGCCCTCCTAATGTAAGCAACTATTAAGACCTTTCCTCTTTCAGCCAAGGAAGTCCTCATTAGAGGGGGGTACATCTCCCCCTGCCACCCGTCGCAACACGTGCCCCCCTTGCCTCTGTATTGGATGTGGCTGCGAATATGGCGCGGTTGATGTCAAATCCGGTGTGAGCCTGCGTGGAGGGATGAGGAGGGGAGAGAAGGGAAGAGGAGGCGGAGGCAGAGGATGAGGAGGAGGACAAGGCGCGAGAGAAGGAACACTAGGAAGGGGAGGATCAACACTTTTTTTGTTGATCCGCGGGTCGAGAGCGAACCTCTTCCGGTCGAAGCTAAGCGGGCCGCGCACAGCTTTAATCAACAGAGGAAGGAAAAAAAACGGGGCCTCACGTCAAAGCCAAGAGAAGGCAAAGCCCCGGGAACAGGCGGTGCCGAAAGCGAGCTGCATGCAGAAGAACGGCTTGGACAGGGACCCGGAAGCGAAGCACCGGGAGGCGAAAAGCTGGTGGTGGTGCCGTCAGCGGCGCATCATGTACACCAGCTCCATAAACTGCGGGAGAGGATGCGCCACGCGCCCAGGGCGACGCCCGAGAGGATGAGGAGCACCGTTGGGCCGGAGCGCAACGTTGTGCCACCGAGCAGGATGCAGGAGAGACCCAGGCCGTGGTAGTCCAAGGTGCCACGTACAAGAAAAAAGAGCCGCCGCAGTCTGAGGCGCGGCTGCCAGGCGAAGCCGGTAACATGCCGCCCAGGACCGACAGGATGCCGGTGTGCTGCAGGGAGGACACAGGGGAAGAGAAACACAAGCAGTAGCAGCAATAGCAACAGCAGATGCAGCAGGCGGATGACGGAAGCGGGAGGCTCCGTGGCAACGTCGGGCCATCCTGTGGCGGTATGCATGCCTTTTGGAGGCGTGGTGGAGGCCATCTTGGACCATCGCGTGCCACTTTGGTTGCCATGCAGGGGGCATGGCACGCTGGTCCCGCTGGCGAGAAGCGGTTGAATCTTTGACCCGTTCTGTCAGGGGGGGTCCACGTCGCGTGTGGAAAGGATGTGGCTGGCAAACTGGCGCGGTGGCCGCCCCTGGCCAACCGCGGCGGTAAGGGCGAGGCACACATGAAAACGATCGTTGGGCGGAGCCTCGGATTTGAGATGGGGGGGGGGCCTTTTGGGACTCTGTTGAATACATTTCGGGGTGATCTTGGGGCCCCGTTGGCGCTCCGTATGAACACTTTGAGGGCAACTTATGGGGCTCTGGAGTGGCTTCTTCGCGCCTGAGAAGCCCTCCTGCAGCCGTCTTGCGAACATCGTGACGTCAGGTGCCGAGCTCTTGTTGGCGTTTTCTCGATGCTGGAACTCTCCTGGGGTCCTCTTGGAGCGCGTTTGGGGTCTTCGTGGGGGGCATATGGGCCCATCTCGGGCCCTTCTGGGACCTTTTCTTGTGCGATCTCGAGGCAACATGGAAGCCTCAAGAGCCCATCAGGAAAGCGATGCGGCCCGTATCAATGTGTGCTGCCTTTCGAGCTATCCTGTTGAGGCCCCATGGCCACATCGGGCAGTTTTTTAAAGATCTTCAGGCCTCTTGGACGCCTGGTAGAGGCCATATTGCACCATCTTGGACCATCGCGTGCCATCTTGGAGACCGCTTCGCCGACTCGCTTTGTCCTGTCTTGCCGGCGCCGAGATAGCGTGAAACGAAAGTCCTGTAGCCGAGGGGCGGTTCAGAGGATGTCCCTCCCCTGGGTCTGGACGGGGGGGTGGCGACCCATTAGAGGGTCCACGATGACCCAAGATGACCTCCGGACGCCCGAGGATCCAAGATGGCCTCCCAAATAGCGCAAGATCGCCCACGATCGCTCAAGATGTATCCAACCTGTCTCTGGCTGCCTCAGGAAGTCGACTCCAAGTGGCCAAGGAGCCTCCAAAGGATACCCCAGACAAGCCGCACTCTATCGAAAACACATGTCTCTTTAGATGAGCTTCCGCTGGGCTTCTTTGGCCTTGAGATGGCCTGCAGACCTCCCAAGAAACCTCCTCGAGGGGTTCCACACGACCCCAAGACAGCACCAGCAGCACCCAAGGCTGCCCCAAGAGCACCTCAAATGAGCTCACAAGGACAAGCAGCTATTGACGCTGCAGAGCGATTACCCTGTTGGGGGGCCCCGTGCTTAATAAACAATACGCCTGGAACGCATACTTACGCAAAGAGATTGAGGGATTAGGTAAAATTGTTGAACGACATTTCCCTTCGCGAATATTATCTTCCGCTTTTGAGGCCTTACGATGGTATGACACTCCCCCAACAGAGCCAAGATAGTGGGTTCAAAAGACCCCAAGACAACTCCAAGAGCACCCAAGAGGCTCCAAGAGTCTCAATTGAACTCATAATGACAATTAGCTATTGAAACTGCAGAAAGGCAAACCTATCGAGCGACCCCACTTGTGATAAACAAGAGATTGCAAAACACTGTTAGGGTGTGTGATGGATATTGGTAAGATGTTGAGCGAGGTTTGCCGTCACGCACCTTTGCCTCCGATAGGCTTGCAAGGCTGCAAAAAGGATCTAAGACGGCCGCGCAAGCGCGCAAGAACGCCCAGAGAGGGATCCATGAGACGAACCATCGGGCTCCAAGGTGAAGGGGAGGGTAAAGAGGAAGATAAGGGGAGGAACGGGGGGAGCGAAGAGAGGAGGGGTTGGAAAACGAGGAAGGTTTTTTTCAACATCAACATCAAATGAGTGTGCGAGGAGGAGGAGGAGGAAGAGGAGGAGGAAAAACGAATGCAAAAGAGGATGAAGAGGGAACACCGGAGGAGACAACAGACGAGGATGTCTTCAAACTGGGCGGGCAGCAAGAGAAGGGCCAGCAGACCAGGTAGGCCGCGACGGGCGCCAACGCAACGGGTACCCCTGTGATCTCGCCTCCGGGCTCGCCCGGGCCGCTCTCTCAGAGGTTGCCCTTCCTCCTCCCCTCCTCCTCCTCATCCGCCTCCTCCTCCTGCCTCTGCGCGCCCACAGGGCCTTGGTGGCGTGCTGGACCAGGACCCGCCAGCGCTCTGGGGGGACGTGCTTCTCAAAACTACCGCGGGTGGGTTCCAGTCGGTAGCCCAGGTAGGGGAATCCTCCCCGTTCCCCGCCAGGGTTTGGCTCTCTGCGCCCCCCATTCCAGTGGGCGGGGGAGTCTCATAGATGCGTGCCAACACCTGGCCTGGGGGGGTGGTTTTGGCCCCCATGTGAACCCGTGCAGTGTGCCTCGCGCGTGGCCGACCGGAGTTCCAAGGTCCTCGACCTGCTCTGCAGGCGGGAGGCTCGGCGTCTGCTCGCCTACAATCCAGAATCTGCTGTATTTCGTGAAATTTGCGATCGCTTGCTAACATATCGGAGGCGTTTTGAGACATATGTCGTTCGCCGAAAAGGCCAGTACAACAGAACCCCACCATTTCACTTGACAGCGCACTCGCACACGCACACGCGCACGCACACGCGCCCGAACAAGCACACGCGCACGCGCTCAGCATAAGGTTGGGGCCAAAGCTCGGGCTTGGGCTCGGACCTGGGGCTCGGTCTCCAGTTCGCGCTCGGGCTGGCGTTCGGAATCGGGCTCACGCACGGGCCTGCGTAGGGGCGCGCGTGCACACGCGCGTGCGCACGCACACGCGCACAAACACGCACACGCACTTTTTGGCGGTCGTGGCCTCGTGCGCAGCGACGGAACGGAGAAAGTACAGCCGACAGCGAAACGCGAGCGGCGGTCGGGCCCTCGACATCGCTTGGGATACGACCTGCTGGCGTCAACTATCCTGGCGTGGATGGCAAGCCGGGGGGAAAAGAGATGGGGAACGCGCGATCACTGAACAACATTGCGGCGCGACTGGCGCAGTAGCAGGAATCACATTGCGCGCAACAAAACACCAGGCAAACTGGAATCGCTACACGAGCCGACCTCCCATAGGCAACATCATGCGATACTATATGGCCTGAGAGAAACGGAATGACGCTATGAGTGTGAAAGGCCACGCGGGGAGGGGGAAAGGGACGGGACGAGGAGGACGAGGACGAAAAAGAAAAAGAAAAAGGGACAACAACGCGCACATGCATTGAAAAAACGACTCCAAGACCATGATGATCCGTGACAAGACGGCCAACCGAAACCGCAAGGCAAAACCGTAATATAAATCTGGGTGTCGCGTTGTCGAGAAAAGAACGCGCAAAGGAGAGCCACCTTTCGAAACGCTACGTTTGAAATTCTGTTATCGAACATGTTGCGCCCGAGCCGGCAATGCCCCTGACGCACCTCCGAGGCTAGCGACGGCCGGCGTCACGAAGAACACAGCCGAAACAAACCACGAATGCCACAGCGGTGCTGACTGACGCGCCCTCGGCGAACGCAGGGGCAAGCGCGCGAAGCGGGCCAGTGCGCAAGACACGGCGGAGGCTCCCCTCCAACACCATGACTACCAGCGGTGCTCAGCGAGGCCACTCGGCCGGTGAATTGTTTTTTGGGGGAGAAGCGAGGGATGGAGGGAAGGAGGTAGAACGGAGGGGGGAGGGAAGGGAAAACAACAACGAATTCCCCGTGCGACGCCGCAAACGCGCCGCGGCCGGGGCAGGCTGGCGCAGATTCATCTTCGCGGGCCACCACGGTGGCAGCCCATCGCGGACGCAAATGGAGCATGCAAACTGGGGGGGAAGAAAAGGGAGGAGGGGACGGAGGAGTAGAGTTAAAACAAATGCAAACTGTACTGCTGAAGCTGCCAGGTGGCATGCCATTCAGGAGCCATCCAGGCGGTAGCCTCCCCTGGCAGGCTGTAGCCAGGAGGGCCTGTGACCCAAAACTGCGGCCTGCACGTGCCGATCTGGCACAATCCGCCGACCCTGTCGGCGTGTGGAAGAGGTTCTTTCGTTGGTCGCTATTTCACGCGTCGTCTCCTCGCCGTCGTCGTCGTCGTCGCCGTCTCCTGGGTTTTCTTTTCCAACGCGCCGGCCGTTGCCTCTCTTGCCCTGGGCCTTTTCTCTTCAAGCGTGCTAGCCCAAACGACAATCACACACGTCGAACTGCATTCGAACATCCCGTTCCCTTGTTCCAATCCCCGCCGGGGGGGAGGCATGGGGGGGGTCACGGGGGAGACCCGGGGGGTTGGTCCCGGGGGGGTCCCGGGTCAGAACGCCTCCCCCCTCGGTGGGGCCCCAAAACCCAAAACCCCCCATGACGAACCAAGATTGCCTCAAGAGCCCTCCAAGACGGTCCACTGGGGCCCCGAATTGCCGAACTGTCGGCCCAAGACGTCAAAGTAGCCTCCAGACGGCCCAAGAAGTTTCCAAGACGGCCCAAGACGCCTTCAAGAGCACTCCCAAGAGAGCCCCACGAGGCAAACGTGACTGATTTCCCGACTGCTTTTGATAGATTTGGGTGTGTTCGCCGTTTCGGTTTCCCGACTCTCCAAGACGGCCCAAGAGGCCCCCCAAACCGCCCCAAGATATAACCCAAGAGGCCTTTTTCTTTCCAGCTCGAAGGATCCAGGTTCAAGCGAAGCACTGGATCAGCACTGACTTCGACATCACAGCACTGCACCACCTCTAAACTCTGCCCGAGGTTGTACCCAGAAGAGGCTTATCCTACGAAGCCGATAGTCAGATCTGCAAGGATGTGGGCCTCAGCCCACGGCTGCACAGGCCCCCGCTGGCACACCCTCGAGGCACGCAACCCCATGGGAGGGTGGCCAACCCTCGGGCGCGGGGGAAGCGTGAGCTAGAACCCTTGCATTTCGCACTACGACCACTCCCCCCTTTGCCTCCTCGAGCACGCCTCGGGACTTGAATGCTAGTCTGCGATCCCTCATGCATGTCCGAGGCGTCGGGGGGGTTACGTCGGTCAGGCGGAGGGCGAGGACAGGAAGGAGGGCGAGGGGGAACAAAGCTTTGCGCAAACAACGCGGCGAGGCGATCACTGTGGCGCAAAAAAGGCGGCAACCTTCTCAACTCATCATCTCCTACTCGCGATCCTCCAGGAACTGGCTGATCGCGCGCTCGAGCGGGCCGCGAGGCGCTGACCCGTGAAGGCGGGCGGCCCCCTCTGCCTGGATGCCTGGATCAGCTGCTGCACCCGCCCGTCGACGAGGGCGCTGTGCTCGTGCTTCGGGAAGAAGTGCCACAGCACCGTGCACTGCTGCTCCTGATTGTCGTGCTTCTTGTGGGCCCTGCTACGGAAATGCCCGACGAGCGTCGCCACGTCGCTGATCTCCGCCGATGCGAGCTTCTCCAGGAAATATTGGAGCATCCCCTTCAACGGTGACTTCTCCGAGTCCTTGCCGTTCTCTGGAACCGCGCGCGTCGCTCCGTAGCCGAACGACGACATGCAGATGCTAAGGAATGGCGGGCCGCGCGCATTGTGGTCTGTCGGCTGGCCCGCTGCTGCCTTCTTCTTGAGCCCCTTGCTCTCGGCGTCGTAGCGCTTGCCCGCGGCCAGGCCCGCGACCGCGCTCGGGCTGCTGATGCCGGGCTGCTGGTGCCCGGCTGGAACTTGACGTCGGCGATGCCCTCCGCGTCCGCGATCGACTTGCTGTTCGCCATCGCGAGCTTGGCCATGGGAACGATGGCGTCCGTCTGCTGCTTGCCGCTCTCGCGCACCTTCTGCGGGCGCGCCCCTCCGCCTTTGGGTTCTCCTCCAACGGACTCTGGTATCGACTGGCTGCGCAAGGCTGGCATGATAATCTTCGATGTCTCCATCGCCCCCTGGGGCATCTCGATGCTGGTCGGTGGTCGGGCGCACAGGTGGGGCTATCTGTCCTGGGAGATGGCTCGAGGCAAGAGGGCTGCGTGGGTCGTCGCACGCGCCGCCCTCGAACTCGCAACATCAACAATGCTAACTTCTGAGAGGGCTTAAGCTTGCTTAAGGTCCGTGCTGCTTCTGGTAGACACATTCCACGTAATACTGAATGCGCCAGATGTGGTGCTGCCGATGTTTGAAATGAGATTACTTGCTTGCAACGCATGCACCCGTTGCTTGAAGTAGTTACATAGAAGAGATTGCGCGCGTTATGAACCCCAAATTTGTGAAATAAAAGTGCCCCCCGGGGATGAGAATACTGCCCAGCATTATTGCCCATTGTTGCTGTTCCTGCGTGCGAAATTCCTTTATGTTCCTTTTCCTCTTCGCACTGTCTGAGGAGGAACGGCGATCTCTTGCCACTCTGGCGGTGGGTAGCAGACTCCCGAGAGGGCCCCAGAACGACCCGAAAGGGCCCCAAGACGGCCCAAGAGGTTCCCAAGACGGCCCCCCAAGATAGCGCCCAGACGGGGGACGCCCCCACGAGCCTCCCAACAGGCCCCCAAGAGGCCCCAAAACTATCCCCCCGAGGCACCCGAGAGCGCTCCGACGAACCCCCGAGAAGCATCCCTGAGGACTCTGACCCACGTCAGCATCGTCGCCGTCGCCGCCGTTCACGGTCGGCGGCATCGGCCGCAAGGCCTCTCGAATAGCGTAACCCCCATCCAACGCGTCGGACAATTCAAGCTCGCCTGGCCCCCGCAATCTGCCGAAGGCAATGCCTCATTATCACTCCCTGCGCGCAGTGGTAGGGCCAGACACGCGGCGCCCCCCCCCCCCCCCCTAGGAGACCCGCATGTGCTGGAAGGTGCTCCTCGAGTGAAGAATAAATCGACCGATCCACGCTGAGTACTTGCGCGCTGGCGGAACCACGATCTCGATCACCACAATGGAAGGAGCAAGCGCCGTCGGCCCCTCGGCCATGCGCTCGCCGATGCCTGGGAACATTGCGGCGCCGCCGCGCAATGGCGTGCAAGTCCTCGCGGATTCCGACATCGCACTTCGCGGTCGACTAGAACGCAGTGGACGCCGCTGTCATCCTTGTCCGCAAACTGAGGCTGGACGAGCGCCTCTGGGCAGCGGCAGCGCTCGCTGC